GAAGGAGCAGGTGGGAGAGGGGGGGGTGTGGGGTGGGGGAGGAGGGAGGGGGGGTGTGTGCGTTGATTGACTCGTGGTCAGAGAGGTTATGTCCATTGATCTGTAGGCCAGAAGAAAGGGGCTGTGGCCTGAGGTGCTTCAGAATGAGTCTATTTGTGGGGTTTAGGATTCCTGTCCGTTCCCACCAGCAGCTTTTTCATCATCCGACTCCCGGGGACTCACCGCCGCCGTCTGCCGCCGGTCCACACGATGCACAAAGCACCGCAGAGGTCAGAGGCCAATCAATGTTCTACAAGAGGTTGATACAGATCTTATTAGTCAATGAACGATCATTAGCGCTCTAACGAGGCATTGATTTGTGCCGGGGCCAAAGGTCGCGGTGGTTGCGGTGAGTGTCTTTAATACATTAAACGCAATTGATTGCAGAGTAGGGAAGGATATTTTTGAAGGATACCGGAATTACATCGGACGGTGAGAGATTTGAGGCCGAGCCAGGAGGGCAGTTTCACTAACATCAGCTGTGGAGAATGTGGTTAGGATCGAGCGCCGCGCCACAGACGGGCATTTGTCTTTGATTTATCACCAGTGTCACACTTCTGCAATTAATAAAAAGCAGATATCCAGAGGAACTAAGTCGAACTCGCCGTTTTTTTTCTTCGTTTTTTTTTTCAAAGGCTGAAGCAGCAGCCTTTGAAAAGTGAGGAAATGGCTGCGCTGGTAGCAGATGTTGTAACTACAGGCCTTATTATGTTGCTCATTAAATACCCAACCTCTCAATAGGCCATTATTTCCCCAATAAAAAACAAACGGCGGCCTGCATACTTTCCCCCTGTCCCGCTCTGCTTCAGAGGTTAGCTGTACCTCACAGACGGCAAAAAACCCTGACTAATATCCTGCATGTGATGCGTTTAAATGGGAAGCAGGCTGCGGGGCAGGGTGGGGTACAGGTGTGGCAGGAGCCAGTGGCTTTTATGGTCCTCCGTCTCCTGTGAAACGGTGCCAGAGACCTGCCCACACGGGCCACAACGACAGCGTCGGCTGCCAAGCGTGAACTCTCCTCCTACTGGTTAGACGGAGTCTGTGCTTGTTACGGCTTTATAGAGGCATTTCTGATGTGCTCGGAGAATTGTTTGATGATTGGAATAATGATGCCGGTTGGAGGGACTTGTCTCAGCGTTTTATCGCCGATTAACGCGTGTAAAAAAAAAGTGAACCCTGCTGAGGTAAAAACCTAGCTCTACAGTACGTCCTTCCCTGGATTTCCTGCTGCCGTGTGTCCCCCCCCCTCGCCGTCCGGTCCTCTTCACGTCAATCAGAATTAGAACCACGTCCACAGGTTTGTCACTGGGGGGACGTTCATCACGATGTCTCCCCTGCAGAACAGCCTTTTCATGCCCCGGCATAATGTCAGCCTGTGACATCCAGACCTGATGTGATGTGGCATTCACTAAAGGTCACGTTAGGCGCCTCCGCTGCGTCCGCATCAGCAGAACTGGCAGCCGTCATATGGGTGCTGGCATCGGCCATTACCCT